CTTGTTCGGGTTTGGCTTCCCTTGGAGATCTTTTAAAAGAATGTCCTTCAGCTCTTCAAAGGACTGTCAGCAGAGCCTCTTATCAAATGTAGTGCAGGTCTTGGTAGGTGAAGACAGCAATAGTTTGAAATCCAAATTGTGTTTGTAAAATTGAAAGTATTAATATCCAATACCTTCAGAGGAGCCTCCTTCAAGGCAGCAGCTGGTAAGAATCTAGTAATGTATATGGGTTGATGCCATGGATCTCAGAGCATCTTTATTTGATTATAATTGTTCTTTCTTTGCTGCATTTCAAACCCCCCAATACAGGTCATTCTGAGAACTGATGTGCAATCACTGGCACCACTTAGACACCCATGCTGTGAGGGGGGTCACATTAATGGGTCTCATTGAAGTGTATTCCTCATATATCATAAAACCACTAGGGGCCGGTCATGGTGCCCTAAGCTTTTTACCTAAAAGAAGAAAACATCTGCACAGTGACATCCACTCTGCAGACCCTTCTCTTCTTATGAGTGATGCATTTTCAGCCGAGCAAAGCTTCAGTCTTGCAGTGCATTATAATGTGGATTCTGTCTGGATTCCCAAGGGGCAATGGTACGTGCTTTTACATCCTTAGCTTCTTGGTGGATTCTGCAAAGGAATATGTGAAGAAAGCATCTCAAGAGGGAAAGCAGAAACTGAGCTAGCTGCATTGCCATGGTTGTCACTGGGACATGATGTTAAAGGAGTTTTACCCAATGGGGACACAGGCAGCAATAAAAACCTGACAGAGGATCTGGATATTCCCCACTCTATCCAAAACTAATCATTTTGGATAGAGTGGGGAATATCCAGATCCTCTGTCAGGTTTTTATTGCTGCCTGCTTCAAGTCTGAAACCCCAAATCAAATTCTACTTTTAGACTGCAGATGTTCTTCCAGCAAGCAGTAATTATAGCGGAGCACTATGTAACTTATTCCTCTTGGAAATGACAAAGGTTAGAACAGGCTGACTCAACCCCCCACACCAAGGTTATTGGCAGGACAAGATCTTCAGATGGAAGAAAACACTAACTATAAAGAGCCTTGGCTGCACCACCTTGCTTGCTATTTGGAGATGGTGACTCAGATTTCCTGTTTGACTTCCAGAGTTATAGATCTGAAACCACCTCTGTGTCATCCCGCTCTGCTTTCATTTATAAAAACACCGGAGAGAATAAGTAATTTCCTTTCCAAAGATTGTCATACTGATCTCATAAAACACTCCGCCCTCCTTAGTTTTACTGTTATTGAATAATCCAGTGATATCATCTTATGTGATGCTTCCCACAGATGTAGGATGACAGTCTGCCATTTTCAGCTGGCATGTCCTTCGGCACCACCAGACGCCCCTTGTGGACCAATCATGGTGGGAGAAATATCTGTCTGATTGCTATTATTTTTTCTTATAATTTTTTTCCTGCTCTATAGCCATAAACATGTACTCTGCTTTGAGCCGAATATACATGTTAATGGGACAGAGAGAGAGAGAGAGAACGGCCTCAGAGTGTTAAGATTAAGTGGAGAAGAAAGCTTTGTACCATCAGTAAGCTATATATATAGGGTGACGGTGTGTGTCTTCACAGATGGTGAAGGACAAAGCAGTGATGGATCAATAATTGTATATAAGGTGATAGTGTGTGTCTTGTAAGATAGTGGAGGAAGAAGCAGTGCTGGATCAGTAAGCTGTGTATAAGGTGAAATTGAGTGCCTTGTCTTATAGTGGAGGAGGAAGCAGTGCTGGATCAGAAGGCTGTTTATAAGGTGACAGTGTGTGTTTTGTTAGATAGTGGAGAAGGGGGGCTGGAGTATGTTGTATATAAGTTGACAGCACACGTCTTGTCAAAGAGTGGAGGACGAAGCAGTGCTGGATCAGTAAGCTCTATATAAGTTGACAATGTGTGTCTTCTAAGATAGCAGGAGGAGGAAGCAGTGCTAGATCAGCATTCTGTATAAAAGATGACAGTGTGTGCCTTATGACATAATGGAGGAGGAAGCAGTGCTCGATCAGCATGCTGTATATAAGATGACAGTGTGTGCCTCATCAGATAATGGAGGAGGAAGCAGTGCTAGATCAGCATGCTGTATATAAGATGACAGTGTGTGCCTCATCAGATAATGGAGGAGGAAGCAGTGCTGGATAAGCATGCTGTATATAAGATGACAGTGTGTGCCTCATCAGATAATGGAGGAGGAAGCAGTGCTAGATAAGCATGCTGTATATAAGATGACAGTGTGTGCCTCATCAGATAATGGAGGAGGAAGCAGTGCTAAATCAGTAAGCTGTATATAAGATGACAGTGTGTGCCTCATCAGATAATGGAGGAGGAAGCAGTGCTCGATCAGCATGCTTTATACAAGATGACAGTGTGTGCCTCATCAGTTAATGGAGGAGGAAGCAGTGCTAGATCAGTAAGCTGTATATAAGATGACACTGCGTGCCTTGTTATATAGTCTTGGAAGAAGTGGTGATCAGTAAGCCTAATACTGTATAAGGTGATAGTGCGTGCCTTGTCACAGAGTGGAAATATGAACATTTACTATAACCGAATGTTCATGTTCATGCAGACTGCCTTAGAGCTAACCTTATTTATAGGAAAAATATGAACTGTTTTGGAAAATCCACTTTGAATGATCAATTTTGTTTCCCTGAGATCGATCAGACATCTAACAAAGCTGCATTACGTCTGTAGACAATTATCACCAAATCTGAATATCAGCATCATAGGAAGCCTTAACCCGGGTGATATAATTGCCTGAAGAGATGATCTTTGAGGAAGTGTCTGTTGGATTGGAGAGTGCTGAGTGGCCATGTGGAAACGTCTTCTAGTTTAAGGAAGAAGCATATGAAGCGTAGGGCCTCATTCACACGAGAAAAGGCTGCCGGCACACACAGCTTCCGTATCGTGCAGCTCCCGGAAAGTGCAGGTGCTGCGTGTGATTAGTACGCAGCACCACTCCTTCTCTATGGGAGTATGTGGCCGTACACCCCCCTACGCTCACCCCAAGTGCACGTCCGTGTGGGTGTCCGTACTCGTACGCTGACAGGATGGGTCCTGTCTGCATCGGAGCCGGGACACCCGCACCTGTATGACAGCAGAGGATCCGTATATTAAAATGAATAAGAAACTGGTGACCCTGAAGATTTGGGTGGTAAACACCGCGACATACCAAAATATTCACGGTTGAATCTGAATCCTTCTAGGTATGGGAGGAACCTATATATGACATACCTTAGGAAGCAGATTATACAAAGTCTCTTTGACAAAGCAGACCTGAACAGAGCAATAAACACAGCTCCGCACGAGGACGCCAATTTATATTCATTGATTACGAGGAAACGGTTCCAGGCTGCCGTACGAGGTTAGAAAGAAAATTCTCCTGCCAACAAAATTGCATAGTAACATAAATCTGACGGCCTTTCACTTAGCAACATAGAGCAAAGTCACAACACGACCAAACGCCTGGGATTGGTTTGTCATCAGCTGCTCTAGACAGGAAAGGTTTGGCACATTTGGCGGGATTAACCATTTTGGTGTCGGTTAGGTCCATGGCTGCACGTCATGGTATACTGGTACTCACCGTGATCGTGGGAAAATACGAGCAAATTTAAGCTGGTGAATAGTTGCGCCAGGTCATCGTATCGGCCGCAGTGCTCTCCAGCGCCGTGGGCCACAAACACCAGAGCCCTGAAACAAGAAGAATGGTTGGTTATTGTAAGTCTACCTCCGAACAAATATATAGCAATTGTTGATATATCTCCATAGGATTAATTTCTAGTATTGTTATTATATTCATAATATGCTTATGCTTTGATCTCAGGTGCCCAACGTGTGGCCCTTTAGTACTTATTGAGTGGTCCCCAGACCCTAGCTATTGCTAGTGGGCGCATTGATTTGTAAAGGGGTTGTAATGGCAGTGATCACATGTAACATGTTGGTCCTCAGTCTCTAACTGTCTCCTGCAGGATATCTTCAGTCTTCAACCACACCTACAGCAGGTCTCTGACCATCTCCTGCAGCATGTCAGGAATCTTTGGGAATGTTCTATAGCATTACATATACAGAATATTATGTGGGGCCCCCTTGGGGATAAAATGGAACAGACAAGCCACCCATTCCTTCCCCTGATGCATTTCGCCCCCTATGAGTAAGCCCCTATAAAGGCCGTAACGTATAGTATCCCTGTGCTGCTTGCACAATAAAGTTTTGTATGCGGAGGAGGCGGTGGACGGCGTTAATGGGAAGGTGACAGAGCTGGAATCTGTTGCAGAATTGTGGCGGTATTAGGGGATGCAGACCCTGGATTTCAGTGTAGAGATCTCACCAATAGAGTGTGATGATTCTTCTCGGGGCCGGGCAGCCTCGGTCCTGCCGGCTTCCATGTCGGGTGTTTCGCGTTCCACTGTGGAACGCGGAAGCCGCTCGACTTCCTGGTTCTGACGCAAGCGGCCTGCGTTCCACGGTGGAAAGCGGAAGTCACTCGTTCCGGCCGCCGTCTCCTCCCACATCCTGGGGCTATTTAAAGCCCCAGCTGTGGCAGCATGGCGTTCAATAATCGGATCTGAACGCCTGCTGACTACTGAACCCTACCGAACCACACTGTGTCTCCTGACTCAACCCTAAGACTCTGCCAGCTGGACCCAACCCCTGCACCTCGCTGCTCTGCCGCCTCTCAAACAGCAAGTATTCGCTCCACTGGGAGCCTGTTACAAACTGTCAGCTGCTGAACTATACACTATTGTGCTACTGATATCTCTGAGACTGTTGTGGGGAGATTCTATTGACGTTGAGGAGATCTGTGTAAACATACTGCTTCACCAACAAGATTATACACCATTTAACCCTATACTATACCTTTGCTGGTGCTATGAGGAAAAAGCCCATTAATGAAATTCCTGTTTAAAATTATTTGGCTATGATGCAAGAGTCTCAAACTCCCCCTTAAGACTGGGAGTGACGCCTGAGACTCACGCCTGAGAAGCCAAAATCCCTTACACGCCATCACTCCCTCCCGCAGTTGCGCTCCAGTGCGACCGTTTACAGTAGACGTAACATAGAGCCCCCAAGATATTAGTTTTTTTTGCCTTCCCCTGGATCAGCTGTGGGGTTATGGTTCTGTGCATGCCGATTTGGATCATTTATTCATGTTGGGTGGCTTGCCTCTTTAAAAATATGATCACACAAAGATGAAGTGCCACTGTTACCGTATGAAACAGGAAAAGTGGATCATTTGTTTCTTCCAAAATACACACATGCATATATACATCTATCCACCTCTGCATTATTTATTATATTGAGATGGAACAGAGGGTGGATCTAGCGGAGGAATGATTATCCGGTAACAAGAACAGGAATTTCCCGGACCTCCTGGGCGCCACAATATCTGATGGGCTCCCAGGGCTAACATCTTTCATGCGGTCACAGTCAATGTTTCCTTTCCAGTGCTATATATGTCGATGTGACCTCAGGAGCACAGGCAGAGGACCGTGCAGGAAAATTCCTCCCCGCCAGACGCAGATGTCCCTTCTGATGTCGGAAAAGATACGCACGCTCTAATTTTCCAGTGGAAAAAAAAATAACGATAGGTCTGATGTCCCTTCCGTTGTTGTTTTCGCATCTCCGGCGCTCGCACACGAAGGGGGCGACACACATTCATCAACAGCAGATGTTTAGCGTTTAACCTTTCCATCGGCCGGGTTAATCTGCTGGTCTCTGGGAGATAGCAATCAAAAACGTGTTTTTTATTTCAACAATTCGGCTTTTTGGGGGATGGAAAGAAAATATTTGTTCTGAATGGCACCCAAATGCACATATAGAGTATCAACTAATACTCATGCACTGTAGCACTCCACAGCACATAAAAGTGGTGGAGTATTAGAACCACTGTCAGGTATGTATTGTTGTAAGATCTCCCCAAAATGAGAAGACATCCCCTCTCTGACAGTTGTCACCGGAAGTCATGTCCCCCACTGGAAGATACACCCTCTATTCCTGGTCTGGTGACTACGGAAGTATTTTAGATTCCTCCTGATTTTCTCTACTGGTGACAAGTCCAACAGCTTACATCTCTTCAGAAGTGATACAGACAGGAATAAAACCCGCCAGAGGTCCGAGCCTTTCCCCATTGCACCCAAAACCAAAACAACATAAGTTTTTGGTTGGAGTTCTACGTTACGGTGTCTACAGACTGTAAAACCCAAGCAATTGCTCCAGAGCCATACAAACCTTTGTGTTGGATGAACAGGCATTCTTGTTCCTATAGAAAGTGGAGGTAGATAGCAATCAGCCCCCCCAAAAAAATCAACCCAGTTGATCCAAAAGCTTTGGAGCGTAGATGTAAGACATAATGGTCAAGAGTTGCCTATAGCCATTCTAACGCTCTAGTTGGCCTACAGAAGTTTAAATATACTAAATGGCCTGTACACATTCAAATGATCTGATTGACCTATAGACATTTAAACAGTCCGATTGGCCTAAAGGCGTTTAAACTTTCTGATTTGCCCTTAGACATTCAAACACCTGCCTATAGACATTTAACATTTACCCCAACTCTTCCAGAGAAAGCTTTGGAAGGTTATGCAAGCCATGACGGTCAGGAGTGGCCTACAGTCATTCGGACACTCCAGTCAGCATACAGACATTTAAATATTCTGAATGGCCTACAGACAAAAGTTTGGAATGGCCTATAGATGGTAAATGTTATGATCTACCCATAGATATTCAAATATTCATATTGGCCTATAGACACTGAAACATCCCAATCTGCCTATAGACATTAATCATTCTCCCCAAGCTGATCAACTTTTCCAAAAAAGCTTTGGAATGTTGATGTGAGCCATAATGGTCAGGAGCGGCCTAGAGCCATTTGAACACTTTAGTCAACCTACAGTCGTTTTGTTTTCTGATTGGCCTATAGACATTCAAACATTTTGATCGTGCTATAGATGTTTAAATGCTCCAGTCTGCCTATAGACATTTAAACATTCTGATTGGTCTATAGACAATCAGACATTCCAATTGGTTTACAGGCATGCAAACATTCCAAAAGGCCTACAAACAGTCAAACATTCCTATTGGCCTACAGACATTTAAACATTCTGATCGACCTACAGACAATCAAACATTCCTATTGGCCTATAGACATTCAACATTTACCCCAGCTGATAAACTCTTCCAGAGAAAAAAAACTTTGGAAAGTTGATCTAAACCATGAAGATCAGGAGTTTCCTACAGCCATTCGAATTCTCCAATCAGCCTACAGATGTTCAAATATTCTGATTGGCCTACAGTATATGCATTCAAACATTTTGAAAGGCTTACAGATGTTCGATTATTCCTATCTGGCTATGGCCATTTGAACATTCCTACCAGCCTATAGACATTCAAACATTCAAAAATTCTGATCTGCATACAGACATTCACAATTCACCCATACTGATCGTCTCTTTCAGAAAACGTTTTAGAGGGTTGATGTAAGCAATGTTGGTCAGAAGTGGCCTACAGCCATTTGACTGACCTACAGCTATTCTAATATTCTGATTGGCCTATAGATGTTCAATCATTTGGAATGGCCCATAGACATTCAAGCACACTGATTGTCTTATAGACATTTAAGTACTTCGATCTGCCTATAGGCATTCAAAGATTTCAAATGGCTTACAGATATTCAAAGAATCCTATTGGCCTATAGACATTCAACATTCACCAACTCGTCCAGAAAACGCTTGGGATTGTTAAGTGAGCCATTATGGTCAGGAGTGGCCTACAGCTTTTCAAACACTCCAACCGACCCACAGATGTTTGAATATTCTGATTGGTCTATAGACACTCAAACATTTGTAATGGCTTATAGACATTCAAATACTCTGATCTGCCTATAGACATTTAAAGATGTGAGCCACGATGGCCAGGAGTAGCCTATAGCCATTCAAAGATTCTGATCGGCTGATAGACGTTCAAACTTGCATACATACATTTATATCTTCTCCCCAACTCAATGAACCAATCAACGAGTGTGGTGCATACAAGCCACCAGCCTAAATATTTTGCAGTCTTCACCTTCCTAACATCTCCAAAATACGCCCCTTCCTGACCAATGAAACCACAAAGCTGCTCACTGGTTATCTCTCGTCTTGACTATTGAAACTCCCTCCTCATTGGTCTACCTCTACACAGGCTCCTCCCTCCTTCAGTCTATCATGAATGCTGCTGCTAGACTCATCCACCTTACAACCGTTCAGTGTCTGCAACCCCTCTCTGCCAATCCCTCCATTAGCTTCCATCCCCCTACCGCCCTCTGCCAATCCCCTCCATTGGCTTCCAATCCCCTACCCCTCTCTGCTAATCCTTCCACTGGCTTCCAATAGCCCAAAGGATAAAATTCTAAATATTAACAACCACTTACAAACCCATCCACAACTCTGCCCCCGGCTATATCTCAAACCTGGTCTCAAAGTATCACCCTAATCATCCTCTCCGCTTTTCCCAAGACCTCCTGCTTTTCAGCTCCCTCGTCAACTCCCCCCATGCTTGCCTCCAGGATTCTCTCCCATTCTTTGGAACTCCTTACCGAAACCTTGTCCGTCTATCTCCTACTCTGACTGCCTTCAGGCGATCACTACAGACTCATGTCTTCAGGGAAGCCTATCCCGCCTCAACCTAACCACTGAAATATCTCTTTCTCAAAC